TGCGTGAATATCGAAAGGAACCGAGATCTTTGGGTTATAAACTTACATTTCAAGTTTCAACAAAATCGGATAAAAATTGTGACCTCTATAGGGTCCACAGCCTTGATATAGCATATTTTTACGCTATTTGACAACGAACGGCGGCCATTTTGTCTGTCAGTTTTGGGCTGATTTTCACGAAATTCGAACTCAGCCGTCCTTAGGGTTTAACGGTGATATAATAATACGGTTTTTTAAATCAGATAAAAATTATGACCTCTATAGGGTCCACAAGCTAAAAACGCGATTTTTCGTACAATCAGGGGCCATAATTCATGAAGTTACGGTCCGATATGCGCGAATATCGAAAGGAACCGAGATCTTTGGGTTATAAGCATACATTTCAAGTTTAAACCAAATCGGATAAAAAATTGTGACCTCTACAGTGTTCACAAGCTAAAAATGTGATTTTTCGTACAATCAGGGGCCATAATCCATGAAGTTAAAGTCCGATACATGCCAATATCGAAACTAGCCGAGATCTTAGGGTGATAAACCTATATTTCAAGTTTCGTTGAAATCGGATAAAAATTGTGACCTGTAGAATGTTCACAAACAATTGTGGACGGACGGACAGAGGCGACGACAATATACGTCCACATGAAAATGTGGGCGTATAAAAATCGGTCACCGGAAGTAGCTGTACTTTCTGAAAAATGTCAATAAAAGCTCTGGAATGATTTCAATTTCAAAATAATAAACAGTAAGCAAAACATCGGAAATAGGTGGTGGGGACACAGTATACCATGTCCCCACCACTAAAAATATTGGTGGGGACGCGTCCCGGTGTCCCCACCGGGATCTGCACCCATGTATATGAGCAATTGACACCGAATTCAAGGGGCAGGTACCGCGGCCCATGACCCATTCATTATCCAAGTTTCTACCTCCTCGGGCACATATGGACTGAGTATGGCCACTTTCCAAGAGCGGAAATCCCTCTAAAAAGGCCAAAAATTGAAATACTGGTGCTCTGAATGGAACACCATACCTACATTTCTGAGGACCAGCATCAAACTCGCTGGTTTCCTACCCTAGGATCCCCTGCAGTATTTCATAAAATAGACTTCCGGTTCCAATCCATAACACCTGAGCCGCGAACAATTTCCAGGGGGAACACAAATTTATATATTGTGGACGGAAGGACGTCCGGACGGACAGGGGTCTGCGGCATAATACGTCCACATGAAAATGTGGGCGTATAAAAAACAATGTTCTGACCAGGGCTTCCACTTCAAAATTTTTACTGCCGGTCATTTTTATACGCCCACATTTAAATGTGGTCGTATATTGTCGTGGCCCCCATCTGTCCGTCGGTCCGTCGTCCACAATTGCTTATGGACGCTCTAGAGACTAAAGTTAATGTCCGATTGACTTTAAATTTATACACAGTGTTTAAGGTCATGAGACGAAGAAGCCTATTGATTTTCAACGATTTCCGATAATTACTGCCAGAGTTATGGCCCTTGATTACTTTAAAAAATCTTGTGGACGCTCTAGAGGCCAAAGTTAATATCCAATTGACTTAAAATTTATACACAGTGTTTAAGGTCATGAGACGAAGAAGCCTATTGATTTTCAACGATTTCCGATAATTACTGCCAGAGTTATGGCCCTTGATCACTTTGAAAAATCTTGTGGACGCTCTAGAGGCCAAAGTTAATATCCGATTGATCTTAAATTTATACACAGTGTTTAAGGTCATGAGACGAAAAAGCCTATTGATTTTCAGCGATTTCCGATAATTACTACCAGAGTTATGGCCCTTGATCACTTCAAAAAATCTTGTGGACGCTCTAGAGGCAAAAGTTAATATCCGATTGACTGTAAATTTATACACATTGTTTAGGATCATGAGACGAAGAATCCTATTGATTTTCATTGATTTCCGATAATTACTGCCAAAGTTATGGCCCTTGATCACTTTGCAAAATCTTGTGACGCTCTAAAGCCTAAAGTTATCATCCGATTGACTTCAGATTGATACACAGAGTTTAAGATTTTGAGAGGAACAAGTATATTGATTTTCAATGAATTTTTATGACTTGGAACAGGTAAATCCATGATATTAAAAGTTTTGTATACAAAACGTTACCATGGGGTAGAACTTTATAAAAACCAAACAAATTCTAATGGTTTTCTCAGTTGTTGCTCTTAATCAGATTTTAGTGTATTATAAATGTTTCATTCCCGAAAAAAGTAAAAATATGCGACAACTCTTGTTGACTGCCCGGACGATTTAGCTGCTGTGGGCGTATGTTTCGTTGTCTGGCAACCTATCTTTGATAACCCGAGAAAACTTTTCAAAGTAAATTCATATTTCATGTTTTTTATTCATGGTAGGGTATTGTGAATTCACTTCGTCAGCATGGGGTACACAAAAAAATATATATTGGACATTAACACGAAATATCGTTTTTGATTGTTTACCGTTCCAATTTAAAAAAGTTTAAAATTTTGGACTTTTCTTCTTCAAAATCGGTATGTATCAGCAACTGTAAAAAAAAATGCAAACAGCAACTGGGGGGTGGGTTGGGTCTGCCAGCCGAAAAAAGTGCAAGAAAAAGTGCATTTCCGGGTAAGAAAATTGGGTGGTCTAACTGAGTTCTGCAAGAAAAAAAGCATTTCCGGGTAAGAAAATTGGGTGGTCTAACAGAGTTCTTAAAGAAAAAAAGCCTTTCGGGGTAAGAAAATTGGGTGGTCTAACAGAGTTCTGAAAGAAAAAAAGCATTTCTGGGTAAGAAAATTGGGTGGTCTTAGGGGTCCCTGCAAGAAAATTGCATGAAACGAGAAACGAAGTGTTTCAGTTCATATCAATAACAACTCCATCAAAATAGAATCGTATTTTAGACCGTATCTAAAATTATAGTTTACGTACATATACGTCTACAAAAAATAGGGATATAAAATTGAAAGCTATATCCTACTTTTTTCCTCAGTAATTACAATAAATGCGCTGTTTTGAGCTCCAAATGAGTTGACGTTAGGTCATTTGGGTATTATACAACTAGATATCATGTCGGCCAAATGCAACCAAATCTGAATTCTATAGAATTGATATGTAATAACAACGGCAGTTCTAAAAACTACGGCTCTACTCTTTCAATTTTGACAGAAGAAAACGCTGTGACATGCTGCCCTTTTACCGAGGTGTGTCGAATTAGTGGTCGAATCCAAGCGAAGATAAATTCAATTTTAAAATGCTTGATATAAATTATGAAAGAAAATGCTATTCGAATATTTCAAATAAAATATTTTTAACGTTTGAAGATTTTTAAAAAGATTAGTAAATTAGCCTTAGTGTGGCCTTTTTGCCCGGTAGTGCCAGTCGTGAATGAATTAGTTACGGCCTGTTAACCGAGACTACACAGGGATAACTCTTGGCAACAACCAGCAACAATGATGGCCACAGATCACTAAATATTTGCCCATTGACTTTAATGTTAATTCTCGTCTCTTAGACCGGCTCTAACTTTTTCCCAAATTTTCGTTGGGTAGAACACTTTCTACCACAGATGGAGCAACATGTGGCAACCTCTTGCCCAAAAGCACGTATGGGGTTCACCATGGAAAACTTGAGATACACAAGCTGGAAGTAGAGACAAGAAAACATGCAATTTTGGACCCTACATTTCAACCTAACCAACCTCTCAACTCTTGTATCCTTCCGCCTCAAAATCATGAATATTCACCAAAACCTGGTAGAAAATGTATTTTCGAACCTTTTTCTTCGCCATGCAAAAGGGGGGAAAGGGAGAGAAAGACTAAAAATAACTTTCGCCCTACATTCGTGGGTGACTGCGTAGAAATATTTGCTGAGCTGTGTCCTATATAGGGGTGAAACTTCAGGTATCACCAAAAAGTCTTTTTTATATGCTTCCCATATGTTCTGGTAACATACCGGTGAAAGGAAATCAAAATCATGAATATTCACCAAAACCTGGTAGAAAATGTATTTTCAAACCTTTTTCTTCGATTCTACACCAAAAAGTCAACAAAAATCGACATGCAAAAGGGGGGAAAGGGAGAGAAAGACTAAAAATAACTTTCGCCCTACATTCGTGGGTGACGGGCGTAGAAATATTTGCTGAGCTGTGTCCTATATAGGGGTATCACCAAAAAGTCTTTTTTATATGCTTCCCATATGTTCTGGTAACATACCGGTGAAAGGAAATCAAAATCAAAGAATAACTGCAAAAATGATGGCCCTTTAAGTATACATGCTGCTTTATGTACAGTAGTGCATCTCAGGTCCATGGGCCTTTTGTGCTAAAATTTAAAAATCTTTCTTATTAAAGGCAGTATTTGAGTTCTGTGAAAAAATTAGACAAGTTACAGACAAATTACACAGAAAACACTCATAAGCTGGATTTTTTTTCAAAAATATAATTTTTTACTGCCATGTCATGAAAAATGTATAAAATTTACATGTAGCATCTTTAAAAACCCTCAATTATTTTCGAAGTTTTTTTTTGATAACTTTAACATGGGTGAGTTTTTAGCCTTTATTATTTTATTTGCAGACTGTCAACACAATTTTATTGCTAGTTCTTGTTCAGAGAAGAGAAGTTCTTGCATACACCCCTCAGAATACCCTAAAACTATGTGATGCCTAGGATTCAAGTGGTTGCTATGTATATCGTTCTGACGTGTTGTCAATCATTGTCATTGTCAATTTTAGCATAATTTCCCGTTATCCTAGGCCCAAATCAGCTGTTATTTCACCTCCCCTAGTGACTATATTTTCAAACAATTTCTTGAGATTAATGACTCATTATCAGGCGGATCATGTTCTTCAGAATTTGGGCAAACTTTGATTTAAATTGTCCACTTTAAAGTAAACACTGCAGAGACTACCAGAGTGCAAAAAAAAAATAAAAAAAAAATGGCCACACTGCTTAGTTACGATTTATTTATGATGCCTGTTTATGACTGATTTTCTTCTGTTTTATATATTTCAGAGATGTGTTTGGATGAAGTTTGAAAATAGTGTGATGGTCATTTTTGAGCAGAATTTCTTGAAGATATTTGTCAATAAAGATTTGGGTTGAGCACAAAATGAAAAAAAAGTACACTGTAATATTTATATATGCAGTTATTCGCCTTGCTAAAACAGAAGGGAGTTATATATTGTCCAATCGACTCGCCTGTCCAACCTCGTGGGTTTTCTCCCGGTCCTCCGGTTTCCTCCCACTTGTTTAAGGGTATATATTTCTAATTGCACATGCTACCTATGTTTTTATTGTTGTTAACTGTGTCTGCGGACTGTATTTTCAAGCAAGAACTTTACTATGTATTTATATGTATTTTCACTTAGTTTGTTATAATATTAAGCGGGCAGAATTCGTAAGTAAACATTTTTGATGGGAACTTATATGTATCTGGTAGATAAATTATCTAGCTATCCGTGCCTATCCTTAGTTTTGTGGTGCCTACTTAGTGTCAAAAGTTCTGCATATTTTTTGGATAGTACCCGTGTCTGGATTTTAGATTCCATGCCAACTTTTCCAATGGAGATAATATTAGCTTCTTGTTTATCAAGAATTTATTAATTAGTAGGCATGTTTAATTTAAGACTTATTTAGTATATTTTATCCTTTCAAATTATTATTTATGCATGTTGTAAGCCATATGTGTCATGTTGGTTTAGTTGAGGCATGGGTTCTTTTATTTATTTTGTGTCTGTTAGTTTAGGATTTCACCCCACCTTTTATTACTAGGTGGATGAATAAGTTGAGTCTCATTGCCTCCATGCATTAGCCTTTTGTCTTCTAGACTGGATATTATTATCCTGGCTCAAGAAGTGTTTTAAGAAAGTGTAATTAACGAAGTGTTTTATTTAGCCTTTTGTCTTCTAGACTGGATATTATCATCCTGGCTCAAGAAGTGTTTTAAGAAAGTGTTTTCAACAACGTTTGTGTTTTACGTATATTTAGCCTTTTCGTCTTGAAAACTGGATATTATTATCCTGGCTCCAGGAAGTGTTTTGACAGCGTTTGAACACAGTGTTTTATTTATATTTAGTCTTTGTAGTAGAAAGTGTTTTTAGAAGTGTTTTGTAAGTAATTATTAATATTACATGGTTAGAGACGACCACAAATCGTCCCGAAGCCACGTAATTTCGGATACCGGAATTTAACCTTGCTATCCCCAACCGAAAATTATATGTATCATATATGTTTCTAATTTTTATTAAAACCATTATATGTTCCTGTTGTTTCAGTGTCGATTAATTTATTAGACTAACAGTGTGCGGGTAACACATAGACATCGTGAACCATGAACTCTGTGAACTGTGAATTCCGTGACTCGTGAACTCTAATTATTGAATTAGAACTGTCAACAAAGAAAGCTGTCAACTTGTTTATGTTTGTACTGTAACTCCTGTTTCTTGTATATGTTTATTTATATAAATATTCATTAATATTTCAAAGCCTTATCATTTCATTCAAGTGTTATCCCGTGATTTGATCGACTGTTGTCCTGTCAATTTGGTTTGCCAGCCCACTCCGAATAAACACGTCGTGTGGAGAGGGTTAACATCTTTTTTACCTATAACACTGCAGCATGCCGAGATGAGATTTGGGTAATCTTTTACTTCTTCACACTCTGGTCAAAATTGGTCAACCTGTGATCAGTAGATTTGAGTGGATATGGGAAAGCACAATAAATGAATAGGTACAAGCCTAAGTTCATATATTTTAGCCCGTCTCTGCATATGGGCAGTTTTAGACTATCTTTGCTTATAATTCAGACTCAGAATTTTGTCGAACATCAACTCAATATAAATACTGTATTTATAACATATCGTCTTGTCATTTGTTCTATTGCTCAGCCTTTAGTAGTTAGGTAAATGCACATACTTTTGGGTGGTCTAAAATGAGATATTTCAAGAAACACATTTTCTTGCACAAGATTTTAGGGTGGTCTAATAAGCAACTGTGAGGAACACATTTTCTTGCACATGATTTTTGGGTGGTGAATTAAGCAACTGTGAAGAACACATTTTATTGCGCAAGATTTTAGGGTGGTCTTTCTTAAAAATGATGGTGCATATTTTTTTACGCAAGATTTTAATGATGGTGCATATTTTTTTACGCAAGATTTTAATGGGTGGGTGGTCTACCCAGGTCCAGTGCATATTTTTCGACTTGACGTATGATGTTTTTTTTACTATTGCCCCCCGTATGTATGCTTCGTCGGTAGCCGTAAGAAAGGAACATAACTCTTGTGTGTACTTACAGTCCCCAGTATACAATTTTAGTCTCCATTTACTTCTATTTATTCAATAAAATAGATAAACAGAGATAAGATACAGCAGGAGATTTCGGGGTCTAATAACAAGTGGGAACTTATATAAATTCATCTTCCATCTGTAAGAAATTTATTTACAAAAAATATAAATTCATCTTCCATCTGTAAGAAATTTATTTACAAAAATATTAAATGCATGAATAATAGGTTTATATTTTAAAGAAAAATAAATCTACGCAATGATGCAGTTAATCGAAAAGTTATCTCGGACAGATCATAATTTAGATAAAAAAAAAAGGTTCTATATACAAAAGGGAGTGTATGGTTAGCAATTTAAAATAGTCCGATGATGCTGATAGGAACACTAGGGTATGCAAACGTCAAGTTGTAGATTTACTTCAGTGCTATATCCCCGGTTGTACGTGGCAAGGAGTAGGGTCGCCTGTCCAACCTCGTGGGTTTTCTCCGGGGCCTCCGGTTTCCTCCCACTGCTAAAGACCCCTACGCGCAAGCGAATTATGTAAATAAAATTAAACCATATGTTAGTCCCGAAATGACCTAGTTTGTGTCGAGTGGACGTTAAACCCCATTTCTCTCTCTCTCTCGCTATCAGAACGTGTAGAACACTTTCATATTTACAGCACCTTTGATTCGTATTATTATTAATCCCCCATAAAATGCTCAATATAAAAAGAAAACTTTTAGAACTTGGAATGTGATTTAAACTAGTGGTTTTCAGTCATTTTACACTTACATGTACACAATATAATTTCTCCCGATGCACAAACAAGCATAAGCATATGTAATAGCCAGTATTTTGTTGACATTCATTGTGGGGTGGGATTGTAGCTGGGGTGGGGCCCTAGATTTCCCCCCACCCCCTCCACTACCCCTATCTAGATCCGCTACTGCACATGGCCCCTACAAAACTCGCACCTGTGGTACTCGGCTCCTGTCTGCATCACTCGTACTAGGGGTATGGGCATCAGTCGGTCGCATTTTGGCTAAACACCCTTCCAAACAAAATCGTTATGTACGCCCCTGATTCGCATCTTACTATATGAAGACAGCAGATCTGACAAATCAGCTAATGAAAATATTCACCGGCATTTTCCTTTGAGGAAAAAGGACGAAACGTAGTCGTTTCCAGTGAAGGCGTGGAATCCCAGGAGTGCTCTGCGCTTCAAGTCTGACAACCAAGATGGCCGACTAAGGCAGACGTGTCGAGGACTAGAGTTAATCTCCTTCAGTTTTAGCAATGTTTTACTTTAGATGATCTATCAAGATTTTGTATGTAAACTGAGTATGTACTAAAGTAACTTTTAATGAGTTAATTGTGACTAAAATATGCAAAAAGAGTGATATTTCGATGAAATATAACATCATCTATAGTATTTAGGACTACAGTTCACCCGAGTTCACTCAAGCATTTTACACAAGGTTAGTCTACTGTACAAACTTTTAACTAAATCCAAATGCCGAAATCAAGACAGCCAAAACGTTCCAGAAGAGAGATGGCTTCAAATTCAAATCAAAATGACTCCAATAGTATAAATGATTTCCTTGGTAATGTTTTAAAGGATGATGGATCGTTACGATCATTTATTGGTGAACTGTTTAAACGTGAAGTAATAATGACCCAAATTGTTCACCTGATTCAACCGAAATTAACTCAAGATCTAGTTAGCCGCATCGACCTCTTAGAAAATAGAATTGATGAACTTGAAAAATATTCAAGAAGAACATGTCTTAAATTCAGTGGTATTAGTGAGAGGGCTGGTGAAAATACTGATAATCTCATACTTGATATTATAAATAACCATGTTTTAAATGATCGAGATGCCCGTCTAACAATTAATCAAATAGGTCGTACTCATAGAGTTAGATCTCGCAATAAAGATTACCACAGAGATATAATTGTTAGATTTATCAGCTACAGGGATCGTGCTGCAGTATATGGCAACAAAAAGAGGCTAAAACAATTCAACATAGCAAATAAAACAAAAATCTTTATTAATGAAGCCTTGACACATAGAAAATCTCAGCTGTATAAAAAGACACACGAACTCTTCAAACTGAATAAAATCAAAAACTGCTGGACATATGACGGTCGAATATTTGTCAGAAATCTAAATGATGACAAAAATATATTAATCAATTGTGAAGATGACATCAATCAGTTTTATGATACGCCAATTGTTGAACAGCAAATGAACACTGATCAGCCCGATCACCTGACATTGAATAGTGCATCAGCCATGTTAAACCAACAAACAGCTAGATCAACTTCATCTGTATCCACAGCTCAACCCGTTAATATAGCTGAATTAAATCAAACAAGCCCCTTGTTACGACAACAGTCCTTGTTAGATTTAGGTTTATTTACTTCTACGCCCAATCCAAAACTGAATGAAAATGTTAAATAAGGTTGATTATAAAGGATCATACAAGTAAATACTAACACTAACATGTTAACATGTTATGTGCGCCACCGAACTTCCAAATGTATTTCAAATAACAAAAATGCATGCTGCTTACATTATACCACTAACTTTAGTCGTTTCTAACTTGATTACTATACTATTCAAAAAAAGTAGGGGATATTTGATTTTGGGGGCATAATACTAAAATATGCAAATGACTACGAAAAAAGTCACTATAGTACCTAACAGAAGAAACATTTCCAGTTACATGTGACGCCCAAACGCACCAATAGCTACCGCATGGAATGCAGGTGATGCTTGGGATCATCATGGGGGTCCAACCCAAGATTTGCACAACTCTGACTTTGAATGTTACAGTCATTGTGGCATTGAATTCCAGGGTGGAAACATCAGTTTAATTGTTTTAGTGACCAGAAAACAAATTTTGATATGCGTCGGCTTACCCAAAATGAAAGATTACGTGCCCTTGGCATGCTACAGATCGGCACAACACAGGCGGTTGTGGCACGGACGATGAATGTTTCTCAGTCTGTCATAAGCAGGCTATGGTCCAGATACCGTGATACACAATCTGTACAGGACAGACCACGCTCAGGTCGACCAAGGGCGACAACTCAAGCCCAGGATCGATTTATAAGTACCTTGGCCTTAAGAAATCGTGTCATCACAGCAAATCAGATCAGCGCTCGTCTTCAAACAGACACTGGTGTGAGAGTGAGTGGCCAGACGATTCGGAATCGACTGCATAGTGGTCACCTTCGCGCCCGACGTCCTCGCGTGATCCCTTGTTTGAGAGATCATCACATTCAGGCAAGACGTCGTTGGTGTAGGGATCGTCAACACTGGGATAATCGACGCTGGAGCAATGTGATGTTTTCAGATGAGTCAAGGTTCACTGTTGATTTTTTGGACAGACGTAGGAGGGTGTGGCGTCGTCGAAACGAGCGCTTCCAAGACGTTAACGTCATCAGACATGATCGATTTGGGGGTGGTTCTGTTATGGTGTGGGGAGGCATCACTGTTGCTGGAAGAACGGCTTTACATGTTGTTGCAGGGCGTGTTACAGGCCAGTACTACCGGGACAACATCTTGGCAGTCCATGTTGTGCCGTTCGCACGACGTCATGGCCGCCGTTTCATCTTCCAGGATGACAACGCAAGATGTCACAGGGCCAGGATCGTTACAGGTTACCTCCAACAACAGAACATCACCACATTACCTTGGCCAGCACTGAGTCCCGACCTCTCCCCCATCGAGCATGTCTGGGACATGCTTGGACAGAGGTTACGTCAACGTCAACAACATCCTGCCAATGTCCAAGAACTTGCTGCTGTGTTGCAACAGGAATGGGACAATCTGGACCAAAATGACCTTAGACGTCTCATTAGGAGTATGCCACGTCGGATCAATGCTTGTTTGGCAAACAGAGGAGGATTTACCCGTTACTGACTTGGTTGTGATGCTGTGGTAACTTTGCTGTTTGACCCCGGGTATCATTTTACCCTTATAATGGTCAGTCTGTGCCTTACTTAGTCTAACGATCATTTGGAATAAATCGATGAATGTGAACTTCATTTCATTTTGTCATTTGTTTCTTCGTCAGTTTCATTAGGTGACTTTAATAACACTTAAAAATCAAATATCCCCTACTTTTTTTGAATAGTATATATATAAAAATATTGATTGATTTACCAAAATGACATAGCATTATACAAAGAGTTAATAATTACCCAGCACTAACAAAATGAAAGTAGTGTTGAATGAAAGATGATATATCAAATAATACTATATCCTAATGAAAGTTCACTAACTTAAATTATTGAAGTTAAACACAAAAAAAAACCCAACAACCTTATTTGTACTAATACAAAGATAATATTGTAGTTATTGACACAACCTATTATAGGTATATTGAATATCTTTTTACGAACTAGAATCAATTAAATTATACAGAAATCTTGTACTCAACAGTATTCTACATAGAAAAGTACTCTGACATTGAAAATATTTTGAGATATTGATCGAATAGCACACTTTCATCCAAATGTCCTTGTTACTGTAGATGTAATATTAAAGATCATTTAGATCACTATCAACGAACTTTACCTACTTGGATCTTGCATATATGATTAGCCCCCCCCCCCCATACACTAATATTACTCGACTCCAAAACTTGAAATACAATTTAAGTACAATGTAAGTAATTTAACTGTTGGAAATGTAAACTCATACCTCGATATAAGTATGAATTTGTTTGTAATTGTGATTGTAAATACTGTTCTGATGTTTTCTTTATTGTCATGTAGTATATTGTATATTTGTTTGTCTCATTTTCGTTATTCCATGTATCTAACTTCTAGGAGTGTAAAATGTATTAACTACATATTTAAAGAAATCTCTAATATGAAGCCATATCTCATTATGCATACGTACCTAAATATATATAAATATATTTCTGATTGTTCCGATCTTACACGTGAACGTAAAATATTACTTAATGACAGCCACGATTAAAACTAATACTATTTGGCCTCTCAAACGGAACGATCAACATGCCTTATATGTGATCTTACATCCTATCTCGTGTTATGGTATAAATATGCATCTATTGCTGGTAATTAAAACTTTTGTTAATTGTCGGTTGCATAGAACAAAACCCTGGTCCGTTTAACCCTTTCAATGCTAGACGTAAATCCACTGCCTGTGCTAGACCCTTTTTTGAGGAAAAAAGGGAGGTTGGAACTGAATGCCAAGCAGTACTTATGGAAGCTTTTATGAAAAATCTTTTTGTCTGTTGGGATGGGCATGAGGTTGGGCTAAGAGGAAAAAATAGAATTTTGGAAATTTGCATAATAATGTAGTCACGTGACGTCATGGCGGCCATTTTGGATTTCTTATTTCTCACTAAAGCTAACACGAAAACGAATTTTTCTCCATGAAATACTTAAAAGATATTGTTTTTTTCACTGGATTTTGATAAAGATATATAAAATGAACAAAAATATCAATAGCAGCCATGAGCAATGCCGCCACGAACACGCGCATCACGTCTCCCGCTGCCATGACCACGTGCGGATTGCAATACCTTGTTTTTACTTTCACTTTCACTTTCATCCCCAAGTCCTATATCATTATCAATATAGTCAGTCAATAGATCTACACGTTCGGGACTCAGGAATTGCCTACGTCTTTTACAATCCAGCAGGTCAGCATTTTTATCAACATCAGAATTATTGTCAGAATCTACTGCAGACACAGGGCTATCGTGTTCACATTGGGCTTGTTCATCATGCACGGGAGACATAGCTAGCCATGGGCGGAACGTCGCACAACAAATCACACACTTCATAATACCAATCACTGTCCTCACTACTATCATTATCAAGTAACTGGAAACGAATTATGTGTATCACCCGCCTCGAAATTGTCCACGTGTTGGTGAGCAAGACGTCATTCACGACTTCGTCGAGAGTGCATCGTCAACATTGTCACTATGCACTCCGCCATTTTACTGTTTGCCGCTTTGAAACACGTGGAAATATGTTCTAGTGTATAGAAAATACAATAGATGGCACTTGCAGTTACGGTACTAATTTTAGCGAGGGCTTTACTGAGTACACGGTAATACCGGGTACGTGCATTTTACTGACATTTTATAATACCCGGTACTACCGGGTATACGCAGTGAAAGGGTTAATACATTAAATACAGGGAACATTTCCATTGTCTACAATAATGTATGTAGTTTATTGCCATAACTAGATATAATTGAAGCTGAATTCTCCAACTATGATATAATATGTATTACTGAATCTCATTTAGACAACACTATTAATGATTCAATGATTTTACTGCCCGGTTATAGAAGTCCAGTTAGATTAGATAGAAACAGGCATGGGGGTGCAGGGGTTGTTTATATAAAAAAATAATCTACACTTTCAGATTAGGCATGATCTCATAAACTCTGATATTGAATTAATTTTTATAGACATATTTACTGATTACACCAAATTCCTACTCGGGGTAATATATAGACCCCCAAATACAAAGGTTGCCTTTTGGGACATATTTTACGATACATTATCTAATGCATTAGATAGTGGTTCCTCTTTTATCCTAACGGGGGATTTTAATATCAACATTTTAAGTAATTCAAGTAATTGTGCTAAATTTAAAAAACTATTACAAAGATTAAATCTTGAAAATCTGATAAAAGAACCGACTAATTTCACAACGCTCCCAGGTTCATGCATTGATCTTTTTATTACCAATAGGAAATCCCTTATATCAGATACTAATGTTAATGCTCCTATATGCAGTACACATTCACCAATAACCTTATCTTTAAATATAAAAACATACAAACAATTAACATACAAAAGAACTATTAGAAATTATAAACTTGCAGATTATGAAGGTTTAAATAACGAATTATTAACTGTCGATTGGTGAAAAAATGTTTTTAAAAATGATATTAATAAAATTTATCAAAGCTTTTTAGATGTTTTAAATAAAGCATTAGTACAATATATCCCAACAAAAGTAGTAACTATAAGACCAAATGATAAACCATTTATGAATAACGCCTTACGTATAAAAATTCGAAAACGAAATAGAGCACACAGACGCGCCAAAAAAAACAAATAGTCCTAATCATTGGCTATTATTTAGAAAAATAAGAAATGAAGTAATAACATTAATTAGGGAAGCTAAAAATAGTTTTAAAGAGAAATTAGAACAACAAATAAATAATAAAAACTTGCAACCAAATAAATGGTGGAAAATAGCTAAATCTATTACAAATTATGATAATGTAAAGGTACAAACCTCCCCATTATTATTTGAAAACTGTGTTTACACACACCCACTTGATAAGGCAAACATCCTAAACTCTTATTTTGCTTCGATTTCAAAATTAAATGATGTACCTGACCTTCCATACTTTGCTTGTCGCAGTAACAACGAACTACAAAATTTTATTGTAAGTGAGCAAGAAGTGAAAGACCAGTTACTAATTCTTAACTGTTCAAAACCTTCTGGTCCCGATAATATCAGTCCAGATGTATTGAAAAAAGATAACTCCATCAATCACAAGTATGGTGGCTGATAGTGGCCATGTTAAATCTCGCCCTTTTCATAACGCGACAACACGACATCATGACAGTATTGGCGCAATCATACGACACTTAACTCTGTCGTATCATCGTGTTATTTTTATCCTAACGTCGAGATGTCGACTTATTGGCATAGTCTCTTTCTACAAGTCACAAAAATACAGCTGTACTCATTACACTCATTACATCAGATTAGATACAATAACACTCGTCAAAAGAGATAATAGGAAAGTGTTGATTAATTATTCGTTTTCTCAAAATAATGAAACATTTTGCACCCAAAATTGAATTATTGGTATTATATTCAAAAAATCTAGAATTATAATAGCAGGACAAAAGTGAGTCAGCTATGTTAATTCCTTGAATAAGAAGTGGTGTCGGTAGGTATCGAACAAGCATGCATTGCCTCGTGTACGACACCCACCAATACTTATAGATTACTGAAGCGATAGTTTAGAAGCGATTTCAGAAGATTTCCAATTTATTTTATTAGAGTGGGAAGGGGATTATATAAAACCTCAAATCAGATCACAGAAAATCACTGCATTGGTGTAGCACGCCATCCCAATCAGTGCAGGGGAGGTTTTTTTATGAGGTGAAGAAAGCGATTTGCAGCTGTTATTGACCTTATCGCGTATTCATCCGTTTGACATCACTAATGGGATTGGGGCCTAGATGATTAAAAATAGGCCCAGTATTGCCTTCAGCTATGAACACACTCCGAAAGTCCCCTACGCACTCCCCCCCTCTTATTTTGTTTAACAAATAATTTCGGAATCAATAAAATGGCAGGTCCCTATCAATGATGTTTGATACGACTGGAAATTAATGTGTCTAAAATTGATTAAACAACATAGGGTAGTAAATATTACATTTCGAATCCGTATCAATGATACATTTACTCAAAATGTTCCTTCTAATGGATCACCATTTAACTTGAAAACAAGGGAAGCAGCCGATCGAAGAAAAAAAGATTTTAAAAAACAAGTTTCAATATGACAGTCGTGGTTCGGTCATGCATTTACATCCGTGGGTGTCATCCTTTCTTTGAAAGTAATGATTGTGCCAAATTTGAACAAAGTCCATCTAGATTCGCGGCCTGTAGGTAAAGTGTTGACAGATAAAACGAAAAAAAAAACAGACCTATAAAAATATATTTTATAAAACTATTTTAATTTTGAAATTATATTATTTTCACCTTTGCCAAGTGTTTTAGCGAATAGTTATAGAAAGGGTCTTGTCGATTAAGACTATAGCGCATGTGCAATTTTAAACTTCCGAGACGATAAGTCGATGATACGACCGCACGACAAAATTGGGTCGATGACACGACAAAATCACGCGATCTTACGACAGTTTGTTCTGTCGTAAGATCGCATGATTTTGTCGTAAGATCGTGTGATTTTGTCGTGTCGTCGTATCATCGACTTACAGTGGCGATAAGTCGATGATACGACGGCACGACAAAATCACACGATCTTACGATAAAATCGGGCGATCTTACAACAGAACAAACTGTCGTAAGATCGTCTGATTTTGTCGTATCATCGACCTTATTTTGTCGTGCTGTCGTATCATCGACTTATCGCCACGACAAGTCGACGGTACGACAAAACACTAAACTGTCGTATCATCGACTTGTCGACTTGTCGTCTCGGAAGTTTAAAACTGCACATGCGCTATAGTCTTTATCTACAAGACCCTTCTATAAATAAAAAAACAAAACTGACACAGTTATATGGGACAACAATCACTGTTTTATTATACACAAGCACAACGTTTCGATAAGTATTTTAATTTTGAAATTATATTATTTTCACATTTGCCAAGTGTTTTAGCGAATAGTTATAGAAAGGGTCTTGTCGATTAAGACTATAGCGCATGTGCAATTTTAAACTTCTGAGACGATAAGTCGATGATACGACCGCACGACAAAATTGGGTCGATGACACGACAAAATCACGCGATCTTACGACAGTTTGTTCTGTCGTAAGATCGCATGATTTTGTCGTAAGATTGTGTGATTTTGTCGTGTCGTCGTATCATCGACTTACAGTGGCGATAAGTCGATGATACGACGGCACGACAAAATCACACGATCTTACGATAAAATCGGGCGATCTTACAACAGAACAAACTGTCGTAAGATCGTCTGATTTCGTCGTATCATCGACCTTATTTTGTCGTGCTGTCGTATCATCGACTTATCGCCACGACAAGTCGACGGTACGACAAAACACTAAACTGTCGTATCATCGACTTGTCGACTTGTCGTCTCGGAAGTTTAAAACTGCACATGCGCTATAGTCTTTATCTACAAGACCCTTCTATAAATAAAAAAACAAAACTGACACAGTTATATGGGACAACAATCACTGTTTTATTATACACAAGCACAACGTTTCGATAAGTATTCTCTTATCTTTATCATTGTGCTTGATAACGATAAGAGTATATTTATCGAAACGTTGTGCTTGTGTATAATAAAACAGTGATTGTTGTCCCATATAACTGTGTCAGTTTTGTTATGTTTCCAATTGCTAAATGCCACTAAAGGATTATATTACCTTCTATAAATATTCGCTAAAACACTTAGCACATGTGAAAACAATATAATTTCAAAATTAAAAGAGTTTAAGAAAATATATTTTTATAGGTCTGGGGTTTTGGGGGTTTTTTTTTGTTTTTTTTTTACATTTGATCTGTCAACACTCTACCTACAGGCCGCGAATCTAGATGGAATTTGTTCAAATTTGGCACAATCATTACTTTCAAAGAAAGGGTTGCACTCTCGGAGGTAAATGCATGACCGAAGCACTACTGTCACATTGAAACCTGTTTTTTTTTTAAAATCTGTTTTCTTCGATCGACTGTTTCCCTTGTTTCAAGTTAAATGATGATCTATTGGAAAGAACGTATTGAGTAAATCTACGCTATCACTAATACGGATTCAATATGTAATATTTCTCATTACTACCTATGTTGTTTAATCAATGTTATACATGTTATTTTTCAGTCGTATCAAACATCATTGATATCATTTTATTGATTCTGAAATTATTTGTAAAACAAAATAAGAGACGTGGGGAGGGGGGGGCGTATGAGGCTTTCATAGTGTGTAATCATCTAGGCCTCGATCCATTGTTTTTGGTGCTTGATATTTTGCGGGGGAGTCACAGTGTCTATGCAGGTAAGACGTTGGTTCGGTAACCCGAAAGCTGGGTGTTCGATCCCTTCATTGGACGAGAAAGTTCATCCAGATTTTCCGACGAGGTCTTGTCAGTTGTGCTGGACAGAGGGCCTGGCACGTAAAATATCCCTTGGTAGTTGGAATTCGATATAATGGTAGGCTATAGTGCGCTGTCCTGGCAAAATTTCGCTCATAGTATGGCGTATGCCCGTCTTCAATATGACAGTAGTGGTTCGGTCATGTATTTACACCCGAGAGTATCATCCTTTCAGAGGATCGCGTGGCTACGTGGGAAAGACGCTGGCTAGCTAGCCTGGAGGTCGGGTGTTCGATCCCACACTGATCAGAAGTGAATATTCGCTAGGCCTCTGATAAGAATGACATCGATGCGACTTAATGAGTCCCCAATATTAACATTATTCCTCCGACAAATTTAATTCTAAAAATTTTTTTTTTATGTATTAGAAAAATAAATAAAGACATTTGAAGTATTTGTAGGTAAAAAATATTTCCTATGTAGCGTAAATGGGTATTAAAATGAGTAAAAGGCATCATTCTACCCGAAGCAGTTACGTCTTATATAAACAATGCACGCGCCATTGGTCCAATGATTGACACCGCGTGACATGATTGCATGTGTTGAAAACAGTCATCTTTTACAGAGATATTAGACGACTTTTTTCACAGATTGGTTCGATCCCTGCATTGGCCGACAAAATTCATCAAGATTTACCGGTGTGGTTCCCCCTTGTCAGTGATGCAGGACGGAGGGCCTGACAATGACAGCTGTCTAGTCGTTCGGATGGGACGAAACACCGAGGACCCGTGTACACATTGGCGTGCACGTAAAAGATCCCTTGGCAGTTGGATTTCGATATAAGAGCGGGCCGTAGCGCCGCTTCCCGGGCAAAATTCCCTAATAGCACACTGTATGGCATATGCCCGTCGTCTTTAGCCCAGCTTAGGAGAGAACAGTAGGACGTTAAACCCCATTTCATTTCATTTCATGCCATCCTGTCTTTGAAAGTAATGATTATGCCAAATTTGAACATCTAGTTCCGCAGTCTGTAGTTATACCAGAGGGTTGACAGATAACACCTTAAAAAAAACAGATCTATGAAAATATATTTTCTAAACCTTTTTTAATTTTGAAATTATATTGTTTTCACGTGTGATAAGTGTTTTAGCGAATAGTTGTAGAAAGGGTCTTGTAGATTAAGACTATAGCGCATGTGCAGTTTCAAACTTCCGAGACGACAAGTCGACAAGTCGATGATACGACAGTTTGGTTTTGTCGTATCATCGACTTGTCGACTTGTCGTCTCGGAAGTTTGAAACTGCACATGCACTATAGTCTTAATCTACAAGACCCTTTCTGTAACTACATGTATTCGCTGAAACACTTAGCACACGCGAAAACAATATTATTTCAAAATTAAAAGAGTTTTAGAAATATATTTTTATAGGTCTGGTTTTTTCTTTGTTTTTTTTTACGTTTGATCTGTCAACACTCTACCTATAGGCCGCGAATGTAAACTGACTTTGTTCAAATTTGGCACAATCATTACTTTCAAAGAAAGCATGACACTCTCGAATGTAAATGCATGACCAAATCACTACTGTCATATTGAAATGTGTGTGTTTTTAAATCTTTTTCTTCGATCGCTGCTTTCCTTGTTTCATGTTAAATGATGATCCATTGGAAGGAACATATTGAGTAAATGTACGTTATCACTGATACGGATTCAATATGTCATAATATTTCTCATGTTTAATCAATTTTTGACATATTATTTTCCAGTTGTATCAAACATCATTGATACCATTTTATTGATTCTGGAATTATTTGTAAAACTAAATAAGAGACGTGGGGTGGGGGGGTGGGGGGTTAGAGGCTTTTAGAGTGTATTCATAGTTGAAGATATTACTGGGCCTATTTTTACTCATCTAGGCCCCAATCCCATCAGTGATGTCAAACGGATGCAAGCCTATATGCGATAAGGTCAATAACGGCTGCGAATCGTTTTCTCCACCTCATAAAAAAACTCCTGCATCTATTTGGTGACGTGGGGGGGGGGGGGGGTATGAGGCTTTTAGAGTGTGTTCATAGTTGAAGATATTACTGGGCCTATTTTTACTCATCTAGGCCTCAATCCCATTAGTGATGTCAAATGGGAGAGAGAGAGAGAGAGAGAGAGAGAGAGAGAGGGGGTTTAACCTCCACTCGACACAAATTAGGTCATTTCGGGACTAACATATGGTTTAATTTTATTTCAATAAATCGTTTGCGCGTAGGGGTCTTTAGCAGTGGGAGGAAACCGGAGGACCCGGAGAAAACCCACGCAGTTTGACAGGCGACCCTACACCTTGTCACGTACAACCGGGGATTCAAAACCACGCCAGTTGACTCAATGACAGGCTGCGAATCGTTTTCTCCACCTCATTCAAAAAAACTCCTGCAACTATTGGGGTGACGTGCTGCACTATGATAATGCTGTGATTTTAAAGAATGTGACCCGATTTGGTTTTTTTACAATCCCCTTCCCACCCTGTCTTCTGAAATCATTTTTAAACTATTGCTCCAGTCATCTATAAATATTGGTGGGTGTCGTACACATGGCAATGAATGCTTACTTGTTCGATACCTCCCGACACCACTTTTTCTTCAAGGAATTAACTTAGCTAACTCACTTTGGTCCTGCTATTGTAATTCTAGATTTTTTAAATATAATACCAAATATAATTCACTTGTGGACACAAAATGTTTCATTATTTTGAGAAAACAAATAATTAATCAACGTTTTCCTACTATCTCTTTTATATTTATCAAATCTACTACTTAGGCCTATATATGATGTAATGAGTACAGCTGTATTTTTGTGACTTGTAGAAAGAGACTAGTTACGATAAAAATAACACGATGATACCACAGAATAAAGTCAATACTGTCGTGATGTCGTGTTGTCGCGTTATGAAAAGGGCGAGATTTAACATGGCCACTATCAGCCACCATACACAAGCCCTCTCACTAAACTTTTTAATCTTTCATTAGAACTCCAATTATTACCTGATATCTGGAGGACTTCACATATCATTGCAGTGTATAAAGGAAAGGGTGATCTGCAGTTCCCTGAAAACTATAGACCAATTTCATTAACATGCTCATTATGTAAAATACTAGAGAAAATCTTATTCAAAAATCTTTATAATTTTGCAAAAGAAAATAACCTGCCATATAAGTATTAGTCTGGTTTTCAACCTAACGATTCTACAATAAACCAACTTTTAGAAATTTATGATGTTATAATTAGTAATCTTGATAAAGGAAAGCAAATTCGATTTATATTTTGTGATGTATCAAAAGCGTTTGACAAAGTTTGGCATATAAGCTTATTGTCTAAATTAAACAATATGGAGTTAATGAAATATTATGTAAATGGATTGAACACTATTTAAGTAATAGACAACAATGCGTAGTTTTAGAAGGTTTCAAATCAAACTATTTGTATACTGATTCTGGAGTCCCCCAGGGAAGTGTGCTGGGTCCTTTCCTATTTTTAATTTATTTAAATGATATCTCCGATAATATTACTAACAACATAAGGCTATTCGCCGATGATACTTCACTTTTTACCATTATTCATAATGATCCTCTAAGTAGCGCGAACTCTATGACTGAAGATCTGAATATTATCTCATCGTGGGCTAAACAATGGTGTGTAACTTTTAACCCCAATAAAACTAAAGATATTATTTTTACTAGGAAAAATACAATCCATCCAGACTTTTTTGAAAATACAAAAGTTGAAAACGTAACTATTCATTGTCATTTGGGAATAACATTTCAGTCTAATGCATTATGGTCAAAACACATTTCAAATATATACCAGAAAGCTTGTGGTCGACTAAATATTTTGCGTATACTGAAATACAAAATTAACAGAATTTCACTTAACAAAATATATCTTGCTTTTGTTCGTCCGATTTTAGAATATGCCGATATTGTATAGGATAACTGTTCAAAGAAGGATTCTGATCTATTAGAAAGTGTTCAAACTGAAGCAGGTAGAATAATAACTGGCCTTAGAAGAAATTCATCTAAAAACAATTTATACAAAGAGCTTGGCTGGGAATCATTGTCTAATCGCAGAATAAAACACAAATTAATTTACTTATACAAAATAAAGAATAACCTAAGTCCCACTCATCTATCTGAAGCCTTTAAAAAATTTGAACCGCCTGTATCAAATTATAACCTTCGAAATGAAAATCTGAACCTCAATCTACCATTTTGTAAAACGAGTTCATATTCTAATAGTTTCTTTCCCTGCACAATTAAACTTTGGAACAACTTACCTGAAAATATTAAAACTTCACAAACGTTAAGTACATTCAAATTGGGCCTTTCACGCGTGTATCCTTTAATTAGACCACTACTATATTATAATTCTGGAAATAGGAAAGAGAATATTATCCATTGCCAATTAAGAAATAAAGCTAGTAACTTAAATAAACACTTATTCTACCATTTTATTAGTGACACAAAAGTGTGCTCTAGGTGTAATTCTGCAGACGAAGATAATTACCATTATTATTTCATATGTCCAGCCTACTCTGCCCCAAGAAAAATTCTAAAAAATAATCTACACCACCTTAATCAAAATGTTACAATTGACCTGATCCTATATGGCAACCCCTCTCTTTCAGATAATACCAATTCCAACATATTTGAAATAGTGCAAAAATACATAAAAGACAGCAAGAGATTTTAAAACTTTAACATTTAAAACTTAAAATTACACTTCAAAATGTATATATGTTTGTTACTCACTGTACATATGTCACCACTGTATTGTAAACATAAGATTTAACTATTTTATATGTTTAGAGAGAACTTATATAGGCCTTTGCCTGTTGTTCAATCCAATTCAGTTTATTGAATAAAATATTGTTTAAACTAAGTCTGACAACGAGCAATCATGGAAACGACTACGTTTTGTCCTTCTTCCGCAAAGGAAAAATACCATTGTGAAAATAGACGAAGAGGCTCTGGCTACGTTCGGAACTTTAGGAGTTGAACCTGTGTTGGGGGAACGCACGTTCATACCTTGAGTAATTTTTTTTGCGTGTTCTACGGCCAGCCTCGCCTTACGAATGTAGATCAGGCTCGATACAATATTTTCTGGGCAAATTATAAGAAAGGACGCATCGTAGACCTGACCTTGCTTCCACCCTGTGCCAAGTCCCTCAAGCTTCATTGTTGTCAAGCCAACTATGTGGCGAGATGTGGCGATCTGCGTCTTCGCCAAGGCTTGAACTGGAGTCACCAACCCTACATGGTTGGAACGAGGATTTCTCCCTGAAATGGGTAGAGGAAGCGTACCCCAAAAACATCGCTGATTTGTTGGTTCATGACGATGGAGAAATTTCCCACGTTTTCAACAAAATTAATGTCGATACTAATGACGTTGATGACGATAATGAATCGGATGGGGAGTCATATGCACTCATGGACGTGAATATCGAGTAATGTCCATCACAATCCACAATCGGTAAACCCGGAAGTGGTAACGAATAATACTTCCAGTTTGTGAAATGTTCGCGATTATATACTTATAGATTATATACTTATGGTGTGACATATCACTCGTTTAACATAATCGTTAATTTTGGATGAAATTACTTCGCCAGACCATGCAGAATTGTACTGCATATTGAAAATAACATTAGTTTTGGCCCTAATCTCAGTGCATCCTTATTTCTTGCTTATTTGACCTCGGTGACCTTTTCAATTACGTCATAATTTGATTAATTGGTTTCACAAATTATCCCTCGTCACTTATTCAATGATTCAGCTGCGTTCCAACAAGAAATCTGCGACAGACAGCATCAGAAGTGGCTAAATTCATAAGCCAGCCTCCTTTGACCTCTGGTGACCTTTTGACCTCGATAACCCCAGAACGCTCCCTCGGATTCCTGAGGAAAAATGCTTCTAGAAAAGTCAACTCTCGCTTTTTGCCCACCTTTCGGATAATACCCCCCTTCTCCCCTGGTCTATATCTAATTTCCAGACCCGGCTAGGCTAGATTAGCTGAAATCTGTACCACCTAAAACAGCTTTGGAGTTGTTCAGTACCACTACAGGAATCATGAATGACCACTGCCAGACAGTTTGTGCGTTGGGATACCCCTAACAGACACGCCCAAAATGCCCCCCCCCCCACTACGATAGATTAACCGGCACTGTTCCCGTGGTCCAAAAAATTAAAAATTGTGCCAGGATGCGTAGAATACTAATGCCTAGCACGTATGGAAGAGGCGATACTCTGCGGTTTCAGGAACAATTTTTTTTTTCAAAAACGCATTTTTAGCCCCATTAAACGTTCTATGCCCAAAAATCAATTTCTTGTAACCGCAGTTTTCCACCTCTTCCATACGTGCTTGGTATTAGTATTCAACGTATCCTGGCTAAAAATTTAATTTTTTGGAACACAGGAACAGTGTCCGCTAATCTAGCCTAGTTGGGGGCTTTGGAACACAATAACTCTCCTTCTAATTGAGCTAGCATTTTCTGCTTAGGGTAAGCCGAGATAAGCAATTTGATTGTTTGATGTTTTGGGACACAATAACTTTAGTTCTAATTAAGTGAGAGTGATGAAACTTGGTGTATAGTTTCATTACATCAATACCTTGACCAAGTTCGATAATGAGCATTTTCTGCTCAGGGTAAGCAGAGCGATAAGCAATTTGATTGGCCGAGACTTTGGAACACAATAACTCTCCTTCTAATTGAGCTAGAATGTACAAACTTGGTATAGGTGTTTATGAGGTCAATGACTTGATGGAGTTCGAAGATCAGCATTTTCTGCTTAGGGTAAGCAGAGATAAGCAATTTGATTGGTTGATGTTTTGGGAAACAATAACTTTAGTTCTAATTAAGTGAGAGTGATGAAACTTGGTGTATAGTTTCATTACATCAATACCTTGACTAAGTTCGATAATGAGCACTTTCTGCTCAGGGTAAGCAGAGCGATAAGCAATTTGATTGGCCAAGACTTTGGAACACAATAACTCTCCTTCTAATTGAGCTAGAATGTACAAACTTGGTGTAGGTGTTTATAAGGTCAATGAATTGATGGGGTGCAAAACGGAGGGCCTGACAAGGACAGCTGTCTGGTCCTTCGGATGAGACGAAAAACCGAGGTCCCGTGTATATATTGGAATGCACGTAAAAGATCCCCTGGCAGTTGGAATTCGATATAAGAGTAGGCGATAGTGCCGCTGCCCGGGCAAAATTTCCCTCATAGTACACTGTATGGCGTATGCCCGTCTTCATTAGCCCAGTATAGGAGCAGAACAGTAGGACGTTAAACCCCATTTCATTTCATTTCTAATTGAGCTACAAACTTGGTGTAGGTGTTTATGAGGTCAATGACTTGATGGAGTGCGAAGATGAGCATTTTCTGCTTAGGGTAAGCAGAGATAAGCAATTTGATTGGTTGGTGCTTTGAGACACGATAACTTTAGTTCTAATTAAGTGAGAGTGATGAAACTTGGTGTATAGTTTCATTACATCAATACCTTGACTAAGTTTGATGATGAGAATTTTCTGCTTAGGCTAAGAATTTTAATTGGTCAAGACTTTGGAACATAACAACTCTGCTTCTAATTGAGGTAGTATGTTTAAACTTGATGTAGATGTTTGTCTTGACGGAGTTCAATGATTAACATATCAAGCTTAAGCAGAGATAAGCAATTTCCTTGGTCGATGCTCTGGGACAAGATAACTTTGATTTTATCTGATAGAGAGTGATGAAACTTAGTGTATAGTTGATAATCAGTTTGATTGCTGGATACTTTTGAAAAAAATAGATGTGCGATTAATGAATATGTGTCATCTATTTATTTGAGCATTTCGGGACATCAGCCTCACTGTTGGCTTGTTTTTATTTATCTATTTGTCTATGTAAATATGTAAGCTATACTTTTGAAATTTGTACATATTACTATTTGTATTGAAATGTATAAATTACATGGAGATGAATTTATATAGGCTTCGGCTTGTTTTCAAATCCATTACATCAGTATTGTATACTCATGTCATTCTCAAAATAAAATATTGTTTAAACCAATATATCCACCACCCACATATCGGTTACAGGTTGCGCTAGCCGCCTACGATTTTGTGAAATGAATCTAAACTAAGCAGTCGAGTATCGACCCTTTCCTGGTCCTGATGCTAGCTAACACTTGATTATATTCTTTCTGTAATCTTATTAAATATGTAATTGAACACTCAATATACATGTATATTGATCATAATATTTGTTTATATCATTGATGTATCTTGCATTTGGTAAGCCGATTTATATAAGTCATTTGCTTGTTTCGGTATCCTGTGAATAAAATATTGTTTAAATAAAAAAGAAACTGTGTTTATGAACTATTTTGTATGGTGGCTGTTAGCGGCCATTCAAATAACATCTATGAAGAAGGCGACAAATCAACCCGAAAACACAACAAAATAACCCGACAATCGTCGCCTTCATTTTGTCGACTTGCCGGATCAATTCTGTTGACTTGTTATTATTCACAACACGACAAGCCAACAAAATACAATTATTTCGACTTGTCGCGTCCAAATTATCCAATCTATGGTGATCTATTCAAGTATGAAAGCGCAGGTGGGTCACTACTTTTCTCAACATATCGAACTAATATATGCCAACTTCATATATACTCAGCCAAATTAAAAACTTGAATTTCTGGTAAGTCAAATAAATTTTAATGTGTTTCTAACGATAGTAAGTAGTAAGAAGCCTTTAATTTCATAAAATTGTAAAGTCACGTGGATCACGTGACTTTTGAGCATATAAAGATGAAAAACCTGAAAAACACGTGCAAACAGAAACTCGTGAGGTCAATCGATGCAAGTTTTCTTAAACTGAACACGCACAGGTAACTTGAACTGGAAAAACAAATTAAAATTGTTATTTTCATCTTTGTATCAAATGTAGAACGTCTACGTGCTATAGGTAGGCTCTATGCTGATCAGTCTGTGGTCACTGTTGCAAGAGTCTTTAATTGTTCACGCCAGACAATAATTAATCTTAGAATGAGAGTGCTTCAAACTGGAACTATTGCCGACCGCCCAAGGGCGGGAGCGCCACGTGTGACGTCACTCCAGGAAGATCAAGCAATACGATTACGTCATCTTAGAAACAGATTTGTCACTGCAACCTCCACAAGTAGAGAGATGTTTGGTGGAAGGGTAACTGCACAAACTGTTCGAAATCGCTTGCAGGCTGCTGGTCTTCGAGCTCGGAGGCCCTATAATGGACCAATATTGACACCTCTTCATCGCCGTAACCGACTTGTGTGGGCCACAAGACACATACGATTTACTCAAAGACAATGGAATTCGGTTGTCTTTAGTGACGAATCTCGATTCAATTTGAGATTTGCCGATGGCAGGGCCCGAGTGTACCGCAGACGAGGTGAACGTTACGCTCAAGTATGCGTCAGAGAAGTTGACCAATTTGGTGGCGGCAGCGTCATGGTTTGGGGTTATTTTTGTGCACATGGACGTTCTCCTCTTGTTGTTGTCCAAGGGAACTTAAATGCTGTCCAGTACAGGGATCAGATTTTGCAACCTGTTCTTCTTCCGTTTATGCAGAGACATGGGCCTGGACTAACGTTTCAACAAGACAATGCTCGACCCCATTCAGCAATTGCTACCCAGAATTTTTTAAGAAATGCTGGTGTCCAAGTCCTGGATTGGCCGTCGCTTAGCCCCGACCTTAATCCTATTGAACACATCTGGGACGA